TCTGTATGTGGGATCCGAACCCTCGGCGGGAGCGCCGCCGCGCTCCCAAGCGGCGCACTGTAGCAGTGCGCCACCGGGCCGGCCCTTTAATTCTTTGATTATAGTATATAGGTATCACACTTTATTGCTTATTGCTTGAGTTGAGATAGTCTTTTTTGGGTTGGATTTGTTTTGGGTTGTGTAGAAATTTTTCTAGGAAATTATTGTTTATCTTTAGAAAATGTCCTAATTTGGAAGCAGATTCTTCAGATTTAGAAGCCCTTTGAGGGTATGCTCATCTCTCCATGTTCTCTGCACCTGAAGGCTAAATCTAAGTGGATATGGAAAAGATTGGGCAATTTTTTTTTTTTTTTTTTTTTTTTTTTGTCTTTTTTCCGTGTCCGGCAACGGATCGCAACCCTCAGTTTTGCCCCCGTACCGGACTGGGGACCGGCAACGGGATCGCAACCCTCGGCGCTGCTCCCGCGCCTCGCTCAGCCAGCGAGCGGGAACCGGTCCGCATGTGGGATCCGAACCCTCGGGCGGGAGCACCGCTGCGCTTCCCAAGCGGCGCACTATCCAGTGCGCCACCGGGCCGGCTCCTGGGCAATTTTTTTTTTTTTGAGCCAGCATCTATGTATATTGTATGAAGGAAAACTAGAATGTAGCTTAAAGAGCTCTCATACTGTTTACTGTCTTACCACTGACAGACCTATTGCTGGGAATCACTGATGCTGTTCATTGTCTTTACAACTGTTTGAGCTGCTGTAAAATTCTAAAGTTGGCAATTTAGTTCACATTAAGTGCATCTTTATAAAGCAGAGATGTTATACATCCGAGACCTGCCCTTTTATATCAGTCATACTCTAAATTGAGAGATTCTAGACAAGGTCTGGCTTAATTATTTCATAATAGCTTCTCTTCTTGTTAAAGGTAAAGTTATAAAAGCTGATGAACTTGAAATTACATGGCATTTCCAGGTTGCTTAGGTTATAAATAAGATCTTTTAATGGTATCTTTCTGGTGAAACAGAATTTAAGTCACCTGCCACTTCCACCTGGGTGAAGGTGGTATTGTATATCCTCTTTAAAAACATTTTGCAAACATCATTGTCCTCTTAGGTACCCATAATCCAGAATGCTTATTTAAAAGGCTCTTGCCACAGGCAGTTGTTGGTTGAGCAGGTAAGTTTGGCTAGGGGGAAATGTTTAACTTACTTCGAAAGAAGAACCTATTGCTGTAGGGTTAAGAAACAGCTGTTTCAGAGTCAGTGTCAGCATAGTCTGGAAGATGCAAAGTATTTACCTTGAAGAACATGGGTGACTCTAGACTATTTTTTTTTAAGGCATCTGCTTACCACCTCATTGGTCAGTTTGTCACTGTCTTTGTGGCCTTCTGTATGATAATCCTTTATACTCCCTCGCAGATTTCCACAGGCGCCTGTTTATAGAGTGGCATAGGCAGGCAAGATGGGTTTTGTTTTTATAAGTTTTTTAAAAAATTGTATCATGGTATCCAAAGCACTGGCATTTAATATTCACTGGAGCCATCCCTTAGACACCAAGTCTTTATCCCTTTCTGGAGAGAAAGAGAAAAAGGTTAATTGCTGACACCCTGGAGATTGTAGAGGGAAGATTGGGGTGTAATTCAAGCCTGGCTTTTCCTTATCATCTGCTTATAGACTAATGCCGAGTAAGAAGGCCACTAAGAGGTTTCAGATATACAAAATACTTTATTTTCTTTATTATATTAACTCTGAGTAAAGGTTATTGAGAAGTAGCATTTATTATATATTAAAGGAGAAGCTTTTGTCAAGTTGCTGTCTTCAAATTTGTTTTCATTTTAGCAGAATAGTTACTATTTAAGAGTAAACCAAAGGACAAGCACGAATGAGTCCCTGTAACCAAAGATGGAGAGCATAACCCTGGATAGCTGGATAAACCACTGTTTGTACTAAGAAATGTTTTTTTCCCTGGTAGTGAGGGGCAGGAAACTGTAAAAGAGCTTCATATCTTACTCATCCACCTGTGGTATTTTCATGCCTGTGTATTATGCAGGGTACTAAGCTTGATTGAAATCATTTATTTAGTCATGTTACTTGTACTGCTTCATTTTGTACATATTCCCAGCTGCAGAATTAGTATTGCTTATCTCAGCAAGAGATCATTTGCATGGAAAGATTAATAGCACTGATTAGCTTTCTAACATTTTGCACTTTTGAAATGTTTGTTTTTTATGTGATTATATTTAAAACTCTAGTAAATACTGAAATAAAACCATATTGACCAGCTGCTACTTTTACCTGGCCTCATCCATCATAAAGAAAATCAATACAGTAACCATTTTCTCTTCCCCTTTGTATTACTAAAACAAGTTTAAAAAACAAAAGTTTTGGGTAAAGAACTAATATTTAAATTCTTTTCCCTTTACTGGTATTTTCATTGTAATAGGCAGATGTAGTTCAGAATTTAAAGTTTGGCAATTATAAGGTAATTATATCCTTCAGTATCCTGAGACTATCCTTCAGTATTTATAAATATCAGCTACTACTGTAGATAATAGTTAAATCACTTATGTCAGATGGGGAATTCAATGTTTTACATTACATTCCAACTGAATGGGACTTTAAGTACAAAAAGAAAAGTGCACATTCACCATTTTACTTGAATATCAGGTTTACTGAAGAAAAAAGATATACTGAAAATATAGGAAGATATATGTAAGAGGTCATATTTCAAGTATAATCACAATAAAGAGAAGGGTAGCTGTAGGTCCCAGGGCATTGGTTCTGATGGTATCCGTAAGTAAGTGTTCCATATATTCTGTTGTGAAGAAGGGACAGTAAAAGATTCATTTTCCAGATAATGATATCTGTGATTTTTCTTTCCTGCCTAAGTCAGTTGGTAGAGTTGATGCACTTGGGCAGATCTTCAATCTTGAATGAAAGGAAGGAATCTCATGAGCACAGCTGAGGACAAATGAAGTAGAAACAGTCATCTGTTGTTAGTGCTGAAACCACTCCTGACCATTTTCTTTTTTGTGTGTGTGTTCACTTACTAATTCAACAAATTGTTTATGCCCACAGTGTTCAAAGTGGATAGCAATACCAGATGGCTGGACTCAGATAAGATAGCGTTAACAGCGATGAATTAGCCAAAGTTGGACATTTTCCTGTTTAAGGCTTGATGGAATTGTCACCAGAGAAAGTAAACAGAATCGAAGTAATTTATTTGGTCATGCCCTAGATTTTAAGCTACAGGAAATGGAAATTAAGTTTTGATAATGAACTCCAGCTTTGAGGATAAAGTGGGGCTATCTAAAGGCTTCGCTGTGACAAGATCCTTCCACGGACAGCATTTAAATTAAATGTAAAAACATTGTAGATCTTGGGACACCAGTGTGATGGACCAGATTCATAAGCTCTGTTGGAGGACCATTGAAAGATCCTTTTACCAGAACATGTGGCATACAGTAATGGAAAAGAACCTTGACTCCTCATGATAAATCCACGTGAGCAGAGGCAAACTGCATGATCATATGGAGGCAGAATACAGTGGGGCTTATGTCCTCACTTGTACCTTGGAAGGGGCTGAAGGTCCAGAAATTCTTGTCTTGTGCATGGTCCAGTTAAAAGGACTAGACTAATTCACCTATTCTCCACTGAGGTAGATTCAACTTTTAAATATCAAAACAATAAGAATCACCAGGCTTCTTCTGTTGAGTGGCAAGTGCAAATCTGTCCTGAAATGGTTTATGGCATTCTGCATCAGTTAGAGGAGGATAATATTGCCTGTAGCAGACATAGGCAAGCGTTATTCCAATCATGGATCCAACAAGTACATCTGAAGAAAGAGGAAATTAAGGTCTCTTAATCATATTAGACTCCTAAATCACGTTGGGGCTGGAAAAAACTTCAATTCTAGGCTTATGGTTTCTTTTGGCTTTCTCAGTGTTATCATACAGGATTATCATTGTCAGATTGTTCTCTAAACACCAAATTAAAACACATCTGTTGTTAAGTATAAGGCTGTTCAGAGTATACTAAATTACAATTTTTTTAATTCAGTAGAATATCAAAGATTCACTTAATGCTATTCATCAATGTATTTCACCATTTGAAGAGTTCTTTTTTTTTTTTTTTTTTTTTTTTTTTTTTTTTTTTTTTTTTTTTTTTTTTTTGTCTTTTGTCTTTTTCCGTGTCTGGCAACGGATCGCAACCCTCAGTGTTGCCCTCATACCAGACCGGGGACCGGCAACGGGATCGCAACCCTCGGTGTTGCTCCTGCGCCTCGCTCAGCCAGTGAGCGGGAACTGGTCTGTATGTGGGATCCGAACCCTCGGGCGGGAGCGCCGCCGCGCTTCCCAAGCGGCGCACTATCCAGTGCGCCACCGGGCCGGCCCCTCACCATTTGAAGAGTTCTAGAGAAAGGAATTAACTCTTCAGGAGTTGTCTGTCTCTGCAAAAAATTAGTTTATTCTTTAAAATATGGGTCCTGAGAAACTCTGGGCAATACTGCCAACTTTCTGTGGAATTGTGACTTTTCTTTGAAGATGTTCTGTAATTTGGATGTTTTACCATAACATTAACAAATTGCTTTGGTTTAATTATAATTTTAAATTTTCTTCAATTTTACTTTTCTGAACAAAAAGCTTAAGACAATGAACTTGAATTTTAGGAGTATACCTAGCTTGAGGTTTGTTTTAAAATATTTCTTATAGAGGCAGTTTAATTTGAACTTATGATGCACCAAATAATGGAAAAATTAGGATGTTCCTCTTTGTTAAGTTCTTTAAAAGGTTAACTTTTGTTTTCTACATAGCTATAAATGCATACTCAGTACGGAAGCCAGACCACCTATAATCATTCGTTTTCATTTAATCGACAGATAGTGAGCATCTCCTTTGTGCCAGGTGCTAAGGATAAAATGAGTGAAACATGGAAGCTTCTACTGCGTGAATACCTTGCTTACCTTGCCAGTGATGCTTATAGTCACAGGTGCGGGATAGTGCAATCACAGTAGCAAAAAGTAGAGGCGATAGAAAGGCACAGAGCCTCCAGGATTTCCCACGGCCTTGTGGTGCGAAGCAATGTAACTTCCCAGCCAGGTAGAAGGAAGCAAAGGCCAAACCAGCAAATGCAACTAGAACAGGGGAGACCTGTAAGTACTGTATGTCTTTTAGAGGAAGCTCACTCTTATCTCCATATTTGCAGCCAAAAGACATGTGAAGGGAGGTTAGGGAGCATGAGCATGTCTTCTCTCTCTTTAGTACATTTTTGTCATAGATCGTTGATTATGAGGGGGGGAAAGGGAAAAATAAGGGACTTTATTTTGTGTTCCAAAGTGAGAATAGTTTTTGGAATATACTAGCCACATGACTTTGGGCAGGTTACTTAACTTCTCAATGCTTTAGTTTCCTCATCTACGAATGGGAATCAAAAATAATAGTACTGACCTCATTGGGCTATTGTGAGTTATAAATGGGGTAAGAATCTACAATGCTTAAGTACCTGATACATAGTAACTCTTCAATAACAGTATTTTTATGACTAGTAAAAAATTGCAGGATCTAGGCAAATAATACAATAATAAAATATCCCAATCTCATGAAGATGAAAAACCTCTGTCCTCTAGTATTTAATATTCAAGGCTCAGGCTTGTGAAATCTTGGGGTTATTAAAGGGGTTTTTCCAATTTCTAGATACAAGAACAAAAGAAGTCAGATGTTGCCATCCCTACAATGTTCCTAGGTAAAATCAAATGATGTAAAAATAAGCATAGGCCAGAGTACACACGACATCCATACAGGAAGAATGTCCACTAGGGAAACTCTTGCGGCCCTCGTCCACCACGTCTCTGTCCCCTGTGCACATCAAGTCAGAATGGGCCAGCCCATCCGGGAAGCAGCGGTAGAAGAAATCTGGGCGTGGCCTGGGAGAAAGAAGCACGGTTTGAGCACGGATCATTTGCAACTCCACAAGTAATTTTTCCACTGTTACCAGACATCACTAATCTTGTTATTGGTCACATAGTGTCCCAGGCGAAATAATTAGGACGGTCACGACACTGAGACAAACCTTACTTCCAAAGTCAGTATTTAAGGAAAAAAGCAGTGCACCGCATGATTACTTTTTGGGACAAACAACAAATCACGCTGCAACTTTAGGAGGTGCTTTAGAGAACATCAACTTTGCTGTGGTTGTTAGTGGGAAATGCGTAACAGCCCAAGTGTCACCTGCAGGACTGAAGTCTAGAGAAGGGAAGAAGTGTTGAATGAGAAAAAGATTAGACGGAGAGTAAAGGAGAAAAGGATGAGAAAGGTGTGTGAGGGGCCGAGGCAGACACTGGTGCGGGTAACTTGTCACTTACCTGCCCACTATCAGCTTTATTGTGTTGGTAAAGATGCCGTTCAGAGCCAGGGCAAGGCTGGCAGCTGGAAAGCAAATTTCCTGTTAGTGACGTCTGCCTAGGAGGAAAGGTGTGGTCATGGCCTCATTAAGGGAAGCTGTGCTCTTTCTGAGGCGGACTCTAAGCACAGCACGATAGGGACCTCAGTGACCACTGTGGTGCGCGGAGAACTTGTGTGACAGACCGAAGACATCATCGAGGGACAAGCCATCCAGTGCATTTAGGCACACCGGTGTAGTGTAGCCGACACTGACCAAGGTCTCACAGGGTGAGAAGTGGGGTCCAGGGGCATATAATCACTTAGGAACAAGAACTCAGTGGCGTCCACACAGGCTCCAGTGCCTGAACCCACAACTGCTTTCTCATTCCCAGCACTAAAGGCCACAGCACCAGCCAGAAGGGTTGGCGAGGTCTTACCCAGGCAGGCGTGTCTGCTGTCTGTTGAGTCTGCCTTCTTGAGAACTCTGGCCAGGAAGATCAGAGACAGCGGACAGAGAAACGCGACGACCTGAACCAGATATGTCAGGAATGAAAAAACCATGAGAACGCACTGGCTGTGAAGTGGCTCCTGCACAGACGGCAGAAGCCACGGAGCAGACCTAACGCCCCCGTGACAACTCTTACAACGAGCCTTCGTGAGGCCGCTCAGTGTCAGCGGCGGGGTAACTAGGCCGTCCCTCCGGTAAGTAATGTCACCCGTGACCTAACACCGTGGGGCGCAGCGCTCGCAGGACACGTGCCTTGAGCCAGGACAGACCTCTCGCTCTGTCTGTCCTGAACACTTAAGTACCAAGGAGCGAAGCCTTCAGCACATCAGGAGGGGGCCCTAAGGTCCCTGCAGAGGCCCCTGGGGCTGTGTGACCACTAGGCTCAGCCGTGGGCATGGAGGGTGCAGAGAAAAGAAGGGCTGGTCCACGCACAAGCACCGGCCTGGTCGGGAAATACTCCGCTTCCACGTACGGATTCCGGTAGAGCCACATCTCCTCGGGCTGGATGCGCCTCTGGAAGGGAGGGAGACGCTCCGTCACCCTGAAGGGGGGCAGGAAAGCGCGGAGCACGTGGGCGGCTCGTTCCTGCTTCCCGGAAGGCCCCGCCGGCCGCCCGGCCCGGCCCCAAGTCCTTACAGGAA